CCGAGGCCAACTGGGGCCTCTGCCCCCGCCGGGTCTCTCACAAGCTGTCCATCCCGAGAATCGCCTCGCCAGACACCACCCCGGCCTGCCCCGCAGCCCGGGGAATTTGCCGCATTATTTCCCTTGTCCTGCTTCTCTCTTTCCAAACCCCGGCCCCCCATTGCTCACCCTCGGGAAAGACGGCGGGGTTAGGAGGCAACGGGAGCGCCACAGGGCGGGCAGCACCGACCACCGCCTCTCGTCCCTGCGGAGCCGGGGACGAGGGGAGAGGCAGTCAGGATTCAAATGTTTGGGAATACACAGTCTCCTTCCGCCCTCCAGTTTCGGCCTCCACAAGAGAGCGCGAGCCGAGGAAGTAGGGCTTTTCTTGTTGACATCTGACCTATGACAGTGTCCCTGCTGGGAATGAGAGCGGGGGAGCCCGGAAAGCAACCGCGTACCCTGACATCCACCTGCAGAAGGAGCATCCTATGGCTGCTCCATTTCCACCTCTCCTTTCTCTTAAGAGAGACTGAAGTAAACAGGAAGAATGACCCCCGAACCGGCCGACCTCCCCACAACCAGTCCAGAAGGGCGAGCGAAGTTGCTCCCATAGGGTCAGCCCCTTGCTGGGCAAAGAGCCCCGGAGGAGCAGCCCGGGGGCTCCCGCCGAGCAGCGGCCGGTCGCGCTGTCCCGCCGCCGGCTCTCGGCGGCCATCACCATCCATCCAAGTCACCTCCTGTTCACTCGACACGGGAGCGCTCCCCAATAGCGGGTCCCTGTCGTCAAAGGCGAAATATTCCCTGGGCGCCCACCCGAGTGTCCTGCAGAGGGCAGAGGCTGCTCGCTTTCCGCAGCCCGTTCCGCGGGCTATTGACCAAGGACTTTTAAATCCATACCCAGCTTCAACATTTTACCCGTCAGCACGTCTGTGGTCACAAAACACTTCTTCTTTCTGTCACTTCTCTTCGAAACTATTGATAAGATCATTTAGCTGAATCTGTTCGGGATGAGTGTAATATTGACTAGAAGTTAGAAAAGATGATTAAATCTAATAAGCCTAGAAACTATCGTGAACGGGGCGGGGGGGGGGGGGGGGGGGGGGGGAGGGACGAGAAGAGCAAGATATCTTACTTAGGAAACTGAGCCAGTCAAAAAGGACCTAAACACTCCACTGCGTATGCGAACACTGCCCAGCTGGATGTCACTCGCCAGCGCGCCAGTCCCGCGGGTGCCCAGCTGGGACTCCTCCGGGAAAAACCGACCAGGTCGTTACAAACACGGAGCCGCAGACGCCTATAACGTGAGAGCCACGGCCCCGTCGGCTCGGGGCCGTCGCCGCGGGGCCCGGGGCCCGGCTCGGCCCGGGGGTGCGCAGCCCCGCCGGTCAGCCGCATTCTTCCTCCTGCAAATGGTACTACCATCATTAAGCCCCGCCTTTTTGTTTTTCTTTTTTCTTTTTCTCTCTCTCCTTTTTTTCTTTTTCTGTCTTTTTTTTTTTTTTTTAAAGAATCAGACCTTAAATTATCAAGAAGACCGAGAAAAATCGAGTCTCTTCTCCACCATGCCTTCCGCCAGAATATGCAACCAACCTGAGGAGCAGATCTAGCAGATCTCCCCACCAGCATCAAAGGCAGGACACCCCTACTCGCACAGAAATCAATGCTCCAAAACACACAGCTGCGGTTCATCTGTGGAGAGACATAATGAACACAGCTTCCGAGGCTCTCCTTCAAGACTCTGAAAGTTATGAGCATGGAACCTCTCAGTATAGGCATCAAATTTATTCCAAAAATTCCATGAAATATAAAGGAATGGTGGTGCTTTTACACAGAACTCAACTCAGTATAAGTACTGGGGTCTTCTCCTTCGAAATCTTAAGAACTATGCAAATCTGTGCTATCTTTAAAAATAAAATAACGATATTTCAATAATTAGAAGAAACTATGAAGGTATTGTGCATTTCTGTTTTATGTAGATAATAAAATATTACTTTAACATAAATATATAAGGATCTCTGCGTTTTTATTTTTCCCCACAAGCACATCCAAATGTACCAAAACAAAGTATTTTTAAAGAGACTGAACCAAAAAAAATTACATCCCATATAGATTTTGTTCACCTACTCATTTAAAGCTACAGAAAAACAGTTTCCAGAACCTGTTTGCTTTAAAAGAAATAAATATACATTGAGGCAGGCCACTTAAAAATGATATGAAAATATTTCCCTGGGTAGCATTTAAAAAAAAAGAAAAATAGACAAAGAAAACATTGAAACTATTTCTGCATTTCAAAGGACAAATATTAAACATATATACATAGTGGTAAGGTTTGCATGGTAACTTTTTCTTTTAGTAAACCTATTTGGAGTTTGAGGCTTTTTCAAACATCCTCTTGACTCCGTTTTCTGACCTTACGCACGTATTAATAAGTGTCTGAAAGTTCATTTCCTCCCTTTACCACTGGATCTGCCCTGATCTGATTCACTTCACTAGGCGCTAGTCCTCAACACTTTAAATAACAAGCAGCTCAACAACAACAACAACAACAAAAAAAAACCAAAAAAGAAAAACAAACAAAAAAAAAAAAAAAAAGAAAGAAAAGAGAAAAGCTTGGTGCCCGTATCTTTGTAACAATTGTTGGAAAACCAGGAAAAAGGCTAATGCATGTGCCTCTTAGAAATCATCATCTGTCTTACCAAGAAGAAAGAGAGAAAGAAAGCAAGAAAGAAAGGGAGAAAGAAACAAGGAAAGAAAACTCAGTGTCACAGGCGTTTTAAAAGACAATGAGAAACATATTCTAAAGCCTTAGCTACTGAATGCAATATTTATAGGAGAGTTCTGCGAGAGAATGCTTCACTGTTTTTTCTCCATAATTGTCCAACACTCAACTAAGTAAACTTTTAGATTATAAAAATGCTTTGTCTCTATAGCACCCATTTGTGCTGACTAAACGATCCCTTTATGAATTTATAACTATCATAGTTTAAAGTTCCTCTAATGTATATGCATAGCTGCGTGTGTGCATAAGTACACAAACACGCACGCAGACACACGCACATACATGCGCTGCTCCAAGGTCCCACTCCTCTGCTTCCCTTCAGAGCTTTTTGTTTTCCTTTTTTTTCCTTTTTTTTCCCTTTTCTCCCCGTGGGTTTTTCTCTTTTTTTTTTTTTTTTTTGGAAGTTAACCATTTCCCATCAAGATAATGTCACGAAATGCACTTTAAAACTATTAACAAAGGGGTGGAAAAAAACACGGATTGAAAAATGGCATTTTTTTTCCCCACTTAATTTCATTCCCCAGTGAAAGACACAAGGCTGCCCAAGTTAAAACTGGTCCTTTCCTTCAATAAATTATACCACAATCTGACCAAAGGACAAGGGGAGGATGGGGAGGGAGAGGGGCTGGATACGAATAGAAAATAAAATACGAAAATTAAAAGTGGGAAAGAAACGCACACGGTCTCTGCAGAGAGGAGGGGGCAGCGTGTGTTTACAGGCAGTTGTAAGCACCCGACCCCCACCTCGGGCCCAGCAGCTCCTCAGGCTCTCCTTGGCTCTACCTTAATGAGAAACTGCTCATTGAAAGAAAGTTTGAAGGGTGATATCGGCCGGGCTGCCCGGGCTGTGAGACTGGGGATGCCAAAGGCACGAACGCACGGTAGCCGCGGGGGGAGGAGGGGAAGGAAAGGGCGCTGAGGGGGCGGTGGTGGGGAAACTAAATAATCCCCTTTCCCTCTCAAGGAAGTGCCACTTTCCCCGTGAAAACTCTGGAAACATGTTGTTCCCTCTCCGCCTTCCCCACACTGGGCCTTGATCACCCACACTGACACAATCTGGAAGGATTGTACATATTTTTTTCTCCCCTTCTGGCTGGGCCTAGGCCCCTGGACACACTGCCTGAAAATGAAGTTTACTTTGTTGATTTGCATTTATTCTCCCTTCTCCAAACTCGACTCTTGCCATTGAAGGCATATATTAAGCAATTACGAGAGTCACGCCTCTGGAGAACAGAAGCTGGAGGTGCACATATATGTGTATATATAGAGGTTATATATATGTGTATATATGTAAGTCTATGCATGCATGCATATGCATACATACATACACATATACTAATTCTTTTTGCTTCAGTAAAAGGAGAAAATAAGCATTACACGTATTTAAGAAGACTTGTTTATAACAAAAGTTCACAAATACACATAAAGCAAAGGCTAAAACACATTAACATATCGTAGATCGGTCACTGGTTGACTAACGCTTACCGTGGAAAATGCAAGTCATTTGCAAAATTAAGGTCGGAAAGGAAGGGGAAAAAAAGAAAAAATAAAGAGTTTGTTTATGTAAACTTCGATTTTCTTGCAGTGCAAATTGGTAAGGTTAAATACTGTCTACATCAAAAGGGATAGCTTTTCAGTTCTCTTCCTTTTTTTTTTTTTTTTCATATATTCATATAGGGGATCCACAGAAAATAAACACAGCAGCATGTGCCAACACCGAGCGACATTCCACAATGCAGTCTGCCTTTGTGTGGCGGAAGGGGGCTGCAGGGGGGACCCGAGGTGGCTGTGTCCCCCCTTCCTCTCCGCCCCTCCCCGGCAGGGCAGCGCCGCATGTTTTTGCCAGCAAGCGAGAGTTTTGTGCGAACCGCTTTGCCCTGCGCCTGCCCTGCCGGTGCCTGCCCCTGCCCTGCCTGTACCTGCCGCTGCCCTGCCGGTGCCCGCCTGCCTGCCCGTGCGCGGTACTCACTCCACTCCGGTGCACGGGCACTCGTCTGGAAAGGTCAAAATACGGCATCGCACCTGCTACCGTCTAAGGGGACAGTGTGGTGCAGTTGCTTTGTCTGTCTGTCTGTCCGCTGTGATTGGCGCTCGCCCTCTCCCTCGCTCGCTTTTTGTTTTGTTTTCTTTTTTTCGCGTTTTTTGTTTGGTTTTTTTTTTTTTGACTTTTTGTCTTTTTTAAAGATAGGAGAAAATAAAATAATTAAAAAAAAGAAAAACAAAAAAAGAAAAAAGAAGGACAATCAAAAGTTGGGGGAAGGAGAGGAGGAGGAGGAGGAGGAGGAGGAGAGGAGGAGGAGGAGGAGCCGGGCGCCCCCGCCGTGAGTTCACTGCACGGGGGTCTGCACCCCGTGGTGCGGCGGCGTGTCCCTGCTGGCCCCGTACACGTCCTCGGCGCCCGGCAGCGTCCCTCCCGGGGGAGTCATGCGCTTCTCTTTCTGTCTCCTGTTACAAAACCACACTCTCACCACCTCCTTCTCCAGCTGTAGGCTGTCCGCGAGCGAGGTGATCTCCTGGGCGGAGGGCTTGGGGCACTTGAGGAAGTGGCTCTCCAGCGCGCCCTTGACGCTCACCTCGATGGAGGTGCGCTTTTTCCGCTTGCGGCCCTGCGCCGCGATCTTGTCTATGCTGGTGGGGCTGCCCGAGGAGGAGTCCGCTTCCTCCAACCACTTGTTCAACAAAGGCTTCAGCTTGCACATGTTCTTGAAGCTGAGCTGCAGGGCCTCGAAGCGGCAGATGGTGGTCTGCGAGAAGACGTTGCCGTAGAGGGTGCCCAGCGCCAGCCCCACGTCCGCTTGGGTAAATCCCAGTTTGATGCGCCGCTGCTTGAACTGCTTGGCGAACTGCTCCAGGTCGTCCGAGGTCGGCGTGTCCTCGTCGGAGTGCGGGTCGTGGTGCGGCGGTGGCCCGGGGGGCGCGGCGGCGGCGGCGGACGGCGCCGGCCCGGCCGCCCCGGGGTGCGGGCCGTGGGGCGGCGGCGGGTGCTCGGGGCCGTGGTGCGGCGGCCCCGGCGGCGGCTCCTCGTGGGCGTCGCGCAGGCCGTGGTGGTGCAGCCCCGGCTGCCCGGCGCCGAGCATCCCGTTGACGGTAAAGCCGGGCGGCTGCGAGTAGAGCAGCCCCGCCTGCGCGCCGTTGGCCGCGGCCATGCCGGGCGGCAGGTGCGCCGCGCCGCCCGCCCGCCACGCCGCCGCCGCCGCCGCCGCCGCCGCCGCCGCGTGGTGCCCTCCGCCGCCGCCGCCGTGGTGCACCAGGTGCGGCGCCCGCCCCGGCGGCGGGTGCTGCGGCGGCGGCGGCAGCTCGTCGCCGCGCCCGCCCGCCTGCACCACCGCCGGCTTGATGTCGGGCTGGCCCAGCGCGCCCGCCGACCAGGGCGCCTCGCCGCCGCCGCCGCCGCCGCCGCCCCCGCCGCCGCCGCCGCCGCCGCCACCGCCGGGGCCACCGTGGGACAGCGCCGCGATCCACTGGTGAGCGTGGCTCAGCGGGTGCCCGTTGCTCTGCAGCGCGTAGTCCGCCTGCACCAGGGCGCCGGCGTCGCGGTAGCCGCCGCCGGGCTGCATGCCGCCGGGCGGCTCGGCGTGCACCATGGGGGAGCCGGAGGCGAGCAGGCTGTAGTGGTTGGAGGCTGCGGTCGCCATGACTCGCCGAGCCGCACTGATCGCGCCGGTTAAAGGCGCCGCGCATTTGACAGCTACTTTTTCGCCTCGGGCGCCGCGCGGCGCCCGCGCCCCCCCGGCCCGCGCGGCGGGGCCCACTGCGAAGGCACGCGCGGCCGCCCCGCCCCGCCGCCGCGCGCCATTGGCTCCCCGCGCCCTGACGGACGCGGCGCTCCCGGCGACCGCCGCCGCCGCCGCCCGCCATTGGCGCGTCCCTCCGGCGCGTCCCCGCCCCCGCCCCCGCCCCCGCCACGCCCCCCCGGAGCCCAACTCCGAGGGGGAACGGGGCGCGGGGGAGCGGGGCCGCGGGGCGGGGGGAGCGCACGGAGGGGAGGGCAGGGCAGGGGGCGCGCCGCCCCGGCCCCGCCCCGGCCCGCCCCGCCCCGCCGGCGGGAGGAGGATGCTGCCGCCGCCGCCGGTCCGCCCGCCGGCTCCTGTTGCTCTCACCCCACCGCGGGTCTCTGCGCGGATCGCGGTCGGGCCGCCCCGGAGCGGGCGATGCGGATCCGGGGGGTACCGGCCTGCCCGCCCCCAACTTTCTCAGCGCCGCCTCGCAACCAGCCCCGCCGGAGGGGCCGGGGAGCGCCGCGCCACCGGGGGCGGGGAGCCGGGACAGGGCGGCCTCCTCCCTGCCCGCTGGCCCTGCCCTCCCGCCACCCAGTGCTCTCCGGAGCGCCCCGCTTCTCCGGGGATGTCGGGGCTTCGCACCTCGAGGACTGCGGTGGGGGGTATTGTTCTGCTTGTCCCGTCCCTTGGGGATGGGATGCCTGCGGGACCGCCTCGACGGCGCTGGCGGCTCTGCGTTGGTGCGGAAGATTGGGGGTGAGGGGGTGGTGGAGAAAGGAAAAAAAAATAGGAATAAAAGAAGGGGATAGGGAAAAAGAAAAAAAAAAAAAAAAAAAAAGAAGTTGCGGCCCGGACAGGAAGCAAGGAGACCCTGGAACTGGATCCGGATTTCCTAGGAATGAGCAGCGCCCAGCTGGCCGCCGCGAAAAGAGTTCGCTGCCCATTTTTGAGCTGAAAGCCGTAGCTTTGTCTCGAAAATAAACTGCTCACGGGGGTAGGTGCGCGTCGCAGGCTCCCGCTATCTTCATCGAAATAACACAATAGGGCGAACCGGGGAATTTATTACTACTAACAAGAAACAGCTTTCTTCTGCGAGTTGTTTATAAATCATCGTGTTTAACGTGAGCGCTGGAAAGGCTCCTTGCCTGGAAATATTCCTCTGCGTGGGGGTGTGGAGGAGCGGGGGGATGGGCTCCTGCACATAAACATATACACAGCAGCAGCATAAACAGGATATCCAGTGCCCTGAGACAAGGGGCGCAGCAGGAGTTACCTCGTTTCGTTAGTTTAGCGGCATATCAAGAGCTCCTTCTGCCGGGGGGTGGGGAGGGGAAGGAAGGAGAGGGGGAGGAAGGGAGGAGAGGAGGAGAAGGGCACAAACTTTGTTCATGAAAGAGTGGAGATTCTTCCTAAAGGTTTCCCCTCCACCACCACCACCCTGCTTTTTCGAGGTGCAGGCGAAAGGAGGAACAATACTGCCTGCTCTGCAAGTGTCGCGGCGAAGAAAGTCAGTGCCTCTGAAGTGAAGCTCTGCCTTTTGTTTCCCGTGTGTAAACAACTGGGCACCCAGGAATTTTATAATTTGATGCTCATTTTCTCGTCTCTCTCCTCCCAATTAGGTGTAGACCAGTGAGTTGAAACAAAACAACAGGGCAAGTCCGCAGCAGGCTTCTGCCAAGGCATCGCGGGGACCGTCCTGGAAGAGCCGCCCCGCTCTCCGCGTCCGGGCCAGCCCTCCGCCTCGCTGCCGGGGCCACCGGGGCTCTGCCAGGGGCGGCTTTTCTGCAAGCCCGCCTCCAGGTCTGCTGCCAAAAGTTCGTGCGTGGACGAGACACGAGGGGCCACGCCACACGTCATTTTCAGAGCGAGGTTTTCACGTGGGTCCCTTCAGCGTGCGGTGCTCCCGCAGCAAGGACCTATCCCGGTGGTCGTCCGACAGACCTCCTTTGTGCCCCGGCCCCACGGCGTGTGCGCGCCCCACGCACCGCCGGTCCCCGTGGAGTGCCGGCATCACCGCTCTCCCCGCGGCTCGCCGCGACGAGGAGATGGGACGCGGGTGTCAGCGAGATCCAACCAATACTTTTTTTTCTGAGGGGAAACCCCCTCCAGCCCTGCCCCGGTCGTGCATTGCCCGCCCCCCCCCCTTCCCCCCTCCGGCCCTCTGTCCCGCCTGGCCTCCTAGCAGGTGATGCCTATGGTCACAGACCTCCGTGCCTCTCACCCCCACCACCCCAGCGGCGGATCTCACGGGCTAACGGTAATCGCAGTTACCGAAGTAGCACTACGGCCTGAGGAGGCGGACAAAACCCCGGCCCGCCGGCAGAGCCCCCCGGCGTCCCTCCTGTCCCCTCCCTGGCGGAGCGCACGCCTATGGAGACGCAGCTGGGAGCAGCGAGGAGCGCGGCCGGTGCATTCAGAGCCGCCGCAGACTCCACCTCCTCGTCCTCCCCATCATTGTTAGCTCTGTCATTAATACCGCTCCTTAAGCATCCTCCGCTCCCGTCTCCCCCCGTGGAGCGCAGCGCCGGGGAGCGGGAAGCGAGCGCCCGACCGCCGCTCTTGCCGCCGCGCCGCTGCCCGCCGCAGGCTTCGGCTCCGGCCGCCGCTCAGGTCCGGGCCGCTCGGGATGTAAAAGAGACAGTCATGTGGCCCCTTTCTAGCGGAGCTGACCCCGCGGGATTAAAGGTCTCACCAGCCTTTCTTTCCTTTTCTCTGCTCGTATAAAAGCAGGTTGAAGGTGATGCGGTGTCTTGGGCAGACACTGCAGTGTTTTGATTCAGCTCAGCCCTTTTCACTGTTCAAAGCAGCTGTTCAAATACTAGGGCTGCTTACTTTGACGTGACGAAGATTTTCAAACAACCCCAAAAGCTTTGAACTGACAGGCCTCCTTGATATCTCCTTCATTGCAGTGCAGCTACTCGAGAATATTCGCTATAAAATACATAGAGCGCCACTTAACTGGAGCTGACTCCTGGCTGGGAAGCGAGGTGCTGCATACACATCAGGTGCATGCAGAAGGACGCGGGCGGGTTGCGGGAGCCCTCTGGCAGCCCCCTGCCAGCCTCCCCATCTCCCCACTTGGGGGTCCCCTGCCCACCACCCGCCCCCAGCTGCCGCGGCGGGCTCTGGCTGACGAGATGTTGAGCTCCCTGGTGTTTCAACTCCGTGCGTTCCGGAGAGAAAGCTGCCTTTCCAGCAGCAAAACAAGAGCACGGCTCGTTCCCAGCGAGCCTCGGCTTCCAGCCGCCGGTCGTCAGCCTTCCCGGCTCGGGGGGCCGGGGGAGCACTCCCAAAACACACGGTCCTGCCTGCGTTTGGATGAGCGCGATTGTAGGGTGGGAAATATGTGTTTGCATATGCCTGTTGTGTTTAGAGGTGAAAAGCTTTTTTTTGAACTCTGGTCTCCAAAACCTTGAGATAGACTCACGCAGCTAAAAGGAAAGGAGGAGGGGGGAGAAATCCCCGCGCCTCCTTTCCGCGTCTCTATTATCTTCCCATTAGATGTTGTTTTAGGAGGAAATGTGCCAGGAGTGCAAAGACGCGGCGAGTCGCTCAGAGAATTGCTGGGTGCAATAAACGTGAGGCTCCCGGTGCTCGCTTTAAAGGCCAACTTGGAAGATTTGTGCTTATTGCTGGGGCGCATTTAATGCACCTTTTGTGAGATGGGATTGTTTTGATCTCTGCTTCCTTTTTAACCTTTCTCTATGAGGTATTCAAGCCTGCGCTTTCGTGTGGCTCTTTCCAGTGTTGCTCCAAGGAGTCTGATTCGGCGGAGAGACCCAAGACATGAATGAAACTTCAACTTTAAGGGCCTGCGGAGAGACAAAACTGAGGCCGGGGCTTCACAAGTGATCGCTTTAAAAAAATCCAATCTACACAAAGAGGCAGCTGGCTGCTTTAATGAAAACTGCTTAAAGCGGCAAGAACCGCAGCCTCAGGGATGTATTTATAAGATGACTCAAAAGCTACACTTTCAAGTTGCTTCTCCTCGGGGTAGATATAACAAACACATTTAACTAAGAAATCTAAACAAAAAGGACAGAAATTGATAACTTTGATTGCACAAGCTCAAATTACCCATTGAAATTAAAATCCGTCATCTAAATAGATTTCTCCACCTATCTCTAGAGAAAAGAAAATCCCCCTCCCTGCATATGTAGATATACACAGGTAATATCATATACATTTTTGCCCTGATAGAATACTGATTATCCCAGATGATAGAAAGTAGAAAGGTGTAGAATTAGAAAAAAAAAAGTTCCCATAAAGTTTGTATTAATGTTCATTTCCAACATTCCCCGCAACTCTATTCTTGTGGCCTCTTCATTCTTCTGAGACTCTACTATTTTATCAGCATCACTGTTTGAACTAGTGGGATATAATGTTCTAAGTTCGGTATTTGAAATTAAATTATTTGAATTCACGGATATTAATCTTTTCCCTTCATCCTCCGGTTCTGAATCTTGTCATTAAAAATGATCCACCCTTTGTAGTCCGCAAGTGAATATTTTATAGACAGATACCGCTATGAAGACTTCTAACACAACGTCAACCAGTCAGACTTAGCTGTTGCAGGGATTACTTTGAGTAATTTATCAAAGGCAGGCTGCTAAATTTTGAGTGGTGAATATGAGGCCTTGGGGGAAAAAGAAGCAGAAGAAGCAAAAAAAAAAAAAAAAAAAAAAAAAAAACGAATTCCATCACTCTATGAGATAAATTCTGGTTAGAGTTAATACAGCTTGTTTATTGAATTCTCAGAGACAGACTCAGATGCGATTGGTGCAGTGGAGTTTGCAATTTAGTGTTCAAAAGCCTGGCTGGGAAATGACCGCCCGGCGCTGTAGCTGGAAGGGCGTTTCTGTTGGCGTGAAAAGCAGGTGAATTGGAAGGAGGAGGCGATCCAGCCTCTAGGACTCGGGAAAGCGGCCTCAGAAAGGACTTTCCAAAGCCTGCGCTGTCCGGAGAGTTGTGGAGGACGAAACACAGCAA